GATTTCTAGTCTAAACCTACCCACGTTGTGAATTGATCTTAGGCAGACGAAATCAATCAGTCGCCGGGCCGTAATGCAAGTCGAGTTCGAACAAGGGTGATATCGCACAAGTATATGTAAAAGAAAATAAAATAATAACTCGAAAAGTTCAAATGTGTTAAAAAAAGGATAACAATATTTTATATCTGGTTGCTGAATACAGGACTGTTCTTCTTCCCAATCCGCTATATGGATTCGTGACACTTTGTGTTTGTTAGGCGAGTCTTAACATCTTAATTTGTTTGTTCTTTAAGAAACTGGTTCTTGGTGTGTCTTCAGGCGATATTCGTAAAAATTGTTTCGGTGGTGTGAGTCTAAGTCGTTCTTCAAAAATAAATTGTCCTTGGTTAGAAGTTGAGTTCGGAATTGCGTGGAATCTTAGTCAGCTTTCTGCGAGGCGGGTCTTCAGAGCTTCAGCTCAACTGCAACTCGAACTTAACTCAAACTGGAACTCAACTGGAACTGAACTCAACTGATTTTCGCTCGCTGCGACTTTGCTTATATGGACGCCGACCAAAACCGGGGTGGGCTTGTCGGGGTTTGAGGTTCCTTGATAATTCCAAACCCACAATCCACTTCTTTGTTTTCGGTCAGGAAAATTTTATTATTTTCCATTTTTGGAAGTCTTTCGTCCTCCCACCTTCTTCTGTTCTCATATTGGTATCTCACCATACCCTCAGAGGGTGTCAACGGTTTTCCTCTCTCTCTCACAGTGGCATCTCACACCTATCCCCTCAGGGGGGTGCCAACAGGCCTCCCCTCCTGCTTCACATGATTACCTCCGCCCAATACTCCTGCTATCATTCAGCCAATGGGCGCTCAGCGGCGTGGGTGTGGCCAGACTAGCCTTGGTTTAAAAAAATCTTGCTCAAAAAAAAAAATTTCTTTTTTTTTTTTTTTTTTTTTTTTCCTTTTTCTTTCTTTTTCTTCGAGGAACCTCACACCCTAGACTTTTTATCTTTTAACCGAATTCACCTGGAATTCGTCAATGAGATTTTCGCCAATTAACAAGTGGGTGGTCAACCAGACGTACCTACACTCCTGGCGCCAACCACTGATCCGATAAAACAATTTCGCCACCACAGCCGAATTTCATATGGAATTCGTCAACGAGATTTTCGCCAATTATCAAGTGGGTGGTCAATTAAACGTTTCGCATTCTGGCGTTATCTATTTCCGATAAAATAATTTCGTCACCATAGCCAGTTTTCGACACAAAACAGATTTTTTTGATTTTTCAAAATAACCAATGGTTTGGTCTTTTGTTTTTTAAATTTGTGTGGTCCAAATGAACATTTTGCGACACAGTCAATGTTTATCTATTTAGAATTCTGTCTCTGAGGTTATTTTGGCCAACCTGGAATTTCCACCCGCCCCGTAACATAAATCAGATTAATTCCAGTATCTTCCTTTTTTTTCTCGACAATGGAAAATAAAAATTTTACCACTTTTCCTTGTCAGAAAAAATAACACCGCTTAGTGTCCTTTTCGTGATGGCTTCTTATCACCTAATTTTAATTCTCGCCTTTTTTTTTTCTTTCCTTTTTCTTTTCTCCTTTCTCCCTTTTAGCAAGCCAAATAGTGTCACATTTGTTTGTTTGGATTAATTTATTTGTTTTTCATTTTGTATTTATTCTTTTTGGGTTTTGATGTTTTATTTACGTTTAAAAAAAAAAAAAAATCATCATTTTGTTTAAAGGTATTTTATATTAATTAACTTGGTCAAGATATATAAGGCATATTTATTCGTTCAATGTTTAGATTGAAACTGTAGTCTATTCTGTTATTTTAAATTGGTTGGATTTTTTTTAATTTATATAATTTGGATTTATTATTAAAACTCATATTTTTTTTTATTTATGCTTATTTGGATTAGTTCTAACAGTTATTTTAGCATTTTAGAAAATTAATTTGTTCATTTTTTATTTATTTGGATTAATTTTATTAGTATATTTATTTACTTATTTTTTTTATTTTGTATATTTTATTTAAAATATTTGGTTTTGATATTTTTGATAAAATTAATTTATATTAATTTTTTTTTTATCGTTGGTAAAAGTAGTTGTAGCTATTTTTTACGTCCATTTTCTGGATTGGTTATTGTAGTCTATTCTAATTTTTATTTTGGCGGGATTATATAAATTAATTTTTTTTTTATTTAAAAAAAATTTAATTATTTTTGGTTAATTTTTTTTATCATTTTTTTTTATTTTCATTTTTATTCTATTTCGTTTATTCTTCTAATTTTCAATTTGTTAATTTGTTTATTATTTTTATTAGTTTAATTTATTTTACTTGTTTTTTATTATTTTATTTATTTGTATTTATTCATTTCAGTTTTTTCGATTTTAGGTAACGTAGTAAATTTTTTTTTCGTCATTGCATTTAGAATAGAATATATACAATGCACCACTGAATAGAATATAGTCGAAAAACGAAACATTTCAAAAAAACCTGACGATCCATTTATGCATGAAATTATTTTAGTATATATTTATTTGACTTCAATGTTGAACTTTTATTTTTGATATTTACATACGCTCTATCTCTGATATTGAGCACTTTATCCTATAAATATAATTTGGTTCTTGAAAACGATATTTTATTTATATATATATATATACACACAAACACAAGATATACACAGATAGATATATGTTTATATATATGTATATCAGGAAATTTAAGCACACACACATTATTTTATCATGTGAACTACCTCACTCCTAAATATATATATATATATATATATATAGTCAGGTAGGATGAATTTAAAATAGTTGCATAGATCCATCGTTTTGTAACATTTAATTTAAAAGCGGGCTTTTACATAGTAGAAATGAATATAACAAATTATATATATATATATACATACACACACATTGAACTTTCAAGAATCTGTCTCTCCATCTCTTTCATATATATAAACTACCGCTGAATAATTTTTTTATGTTTGAAAAACCCCTCCTCTCTCTCCTATATATATATATATATATATATATATATATTTCCGATGAAAAAGTGGAAGAATTTTTTGTTTTTTTTTTCTTTTTTTTTTTTTTTTTTTTTTTTGACGCATATCTCTGGGACTTCATCTATATACCATTATTTTTATATATATATATATATATATATATGATTGGTAAAAGAATGTATGATAATTTGGAATGTTTTTTTATTTTTTTTTTTTTTTTTTTTTTTCGACGCGTTAAATCTGGGACTTAATTGCACCAACATAACAAATTTAGACTGGTGTCCTAAATGACGAAATTTGAAAAAAACTTTTTGATTTCTCATATTTGAAAAAAAAAAACATATAAACACAACATTTAGTATTATAGATTTTATTTTAACGACTTTACTGGGAAAAGGGATTCAGTGCAATGCTGAGAAAAAACTTTAGCGTAGTTTACTGAAAAATTTTCCTACCTTGAAAATCATTATTTGAAATCCCATCTTTTACCTAAACTCGAACACCGACTATTGAAACCAAAGGTACACTCACTCGTGTTTCATCAAACGAGCCGACCAAGATAGATAGTTTTGATCACTGATTTGAAGCAAGATCTTGAAAACTATTGCAAATAGAATATATTGCAATTTGTCCGTATGTACGCTTTGCATATATGAAAATGTTAGGATGCAGAATAAAGAAATTACCTTTGGTTGGAATTGAACCTGTATATGTTTATTCTAACCAATAATTTGTCTGTGATTTTGTACACATCTTCACTGTCTTCATTCCATTCCACTTTTCTTTTCCAGCCTTATCATCTAATCTGTCTTGGTGCTACAACGAAATGCTGTCTGGCCATTAATCGCGCCATATTCGACTTTATCATAATCATCTTGAGATTTGCCGCCATATTTGCTACTAAGCGAAACAAGAATTTCCCTACCGCAGAAAAAGAGGACAAGTACAGGTTTGCTCATTAATTTCAAAATCATTCTTCTTCCTCTCTTAATCTTTCCCTCCTCCCCTTCTGTCACTCCAACAAATATTCAAAACGCTTATATATAAATGTGTATTGGTCGTACATTGCTACCTTTATGTGCATATAAATTGCATTTTATTAGTTCCAAGTTAAATTGTCAGTGCGTTCATTGTCCTTTCAGCAATGCAATTTTAAAATGTTTCAATCTCATATGATTTTTACATTTCTTCATTTCCACGCACACACACACACACATATATATATATATATATATATATATATATATAGCCTGAATGATTTTAGGGAAACACCAAGTAATTTCATTTGTCATTTCATGTTTTAATGCAATGTCAAAGGTTTATCATACATACTATCATAATATCGACCACAAATTCATTATTAAATATTGCATAAAATAAACTATAAAATATATATATATATATATATATATATATATATATATATATATATATATATATATATTATTTATATATTATATGTGCGGTACTTATTAGAATTTATCAATATCAGAGATAGTCCTTATACATATTTGGTTGGATTGATGTGAGTTTGTGACCCTAGGTTTCACGCTTTTGCGATCGTCAGACAACTGATTAATTTTTTAAAATTGGGTTTTATGTAGATTGCGTGTATTGGTGTTTTTAATATATTGGGGTACCAATACACGCAATGTACATAAACAAAATTAAAAAAATTAATCAGTTTGTTGACGATCGCAAAAGCGTGAAACTCAGGGTCACAAACTCACATCATTCCAACCATATATATATATATATATATATATAATATGAATGTGTGTGGATTAATTCAGACTGTTATTTCTATTACGAAAGGGAACGCAAACAGGTTCGAACCCTGTTGGAGAGTGTTTGCGCAGGCCGGTAGACGTAATTCGCACTTAAAAAAAAAAATGGCATCTTTTATTCGTTTATCTTTCTCTCTTCTTTCCTTTTTTTTTCTCAAATCTACAATAAATTTGACATTACCTTTTCTTTTTTACGTCAGTTTATCGCCTTTCTTTTCTTCTCCCTCTCCTTTGATCTCTTTTTCAGTTTTCCCTACAAGTTCTTCGTTTTATTCTCTCTTCCTATATCTTTCTCTCTTTTTTTTATCCCAACTTCATTTCTTTTCATCCTCTTTCTTTTCATCCTCTTATCAATGTCTCCAATTTCCATTAATGTGACGTTTCCTTTACTCTCTCCCCCCTATTTCTTTCTGTTTTTCACTTGTCTTCCTTTTCACTTGTCTTCCTTTTTCTTTTCACTTTCTTTTTTCTTTCGTTTTCTCTTTCGTTCTCTTTTGTTTTCAACCCTCATAACTGTCTTCCGTTTTCTTTCTTCTCAGTTCCTTTTGTATTTCCTTATTCTTCTCTTCCGCTTCTACTGCGTTCTTTCTTAAATACTGACACCCTCCTTTGTTCGTCATTCCTCACTCACACACTCTCTCTCTCTTTGTCATTTTAACTCTTCCTCTCTCTCTCTCTCTCTCTCTCTTTCCCTCGCGACCACATCCTTCCTCGCTCTATATTAGTAATCGCATCATTAAGCTCGTTCTTGCTCGCAAGCAACCCCCCTCCGCAATTAATTATGTATCTGTTAACGAACCATAGCAATTCGTATCATTAGTTTCGATTCCAGCCGCCCATCTTGCTCCAAACCATCACCATCGCCTCCACCGCTGTCCACCCAACCTAGAACAAGGTTACTTCTATAACTTTACTGTTAACTTTAGTAATATCACTACCACTATCATAATCAACACATCACCAGCATTGTTAACGCATCATCATCGATAACACATTACAAGCATTGTTAAAGCAAGCATCATCGTCCAAACATTACCAGAATTGATAAAGGAAGCATCATCATCATTAACAGATTTACAAGTATTATTAAAGTAATCATCATCAGATTAGCAGCATTGTTAAAGTATGATAGACACATTAAAAGCATTATTACAGCAAGCAGCAGCAAATTACCAACATTGCCACAGCAAACATCATCAGCAGCACATTACCAACATTATTAGGGCAATCATCATCATCAAATTGATAAAGTAAACATCATCATAATACTCTTCTCACGCTCGTCTTTTCCATATGAATCAACAGCACCAGGATAACCAATGTATCACAGTCACTTTGTTTCTTGCGTACTCGTCTTGGAAATTGAATTCAAATGTAGGACACTTGTACAAAATCGTCTTTAATTTCTTTTTAATATATCCAGTGTAATACTAAAGCCGATAAGACTGACGTTGGGACTTTTCACTAAGCAGGTTTGAATTCTAAGATTTCTGATCAAATTTGCTTATCAAATCTCGTAGTTGTCTTTGCGCAAGATATACTGCTTGTCAACTTGGGAGAAAAGATTTACAATTTCAAACTTAATTCTTTTTCTTTTTTTTTTTTTTAAATATGAAATTAAAGACAATGAAAATCTTCGTAATTACTCAGATACCTGTTAAATAGTTACATTGACATTAAATGTGCTTTTTTTTCATTTTACTTCGCAACAAAACCTTTACTGTATTTGTTCAAGGCTATGATAGCCTTTATTTGTTAAGACCTTAAAACATCAAGTCTGTCAGTCAATACTAGCGCAGCAAACGAGGGAAAAAGTCTTAAATGTGCACAACAGATATTTCCTGTTTATAATTCAATGGTGAATGTTAATCACATAGAACATTATGCACCTAATAACGAGCTTTCAGGCTATATACTTATTGATCCAGCCTTCTCGAAATATTTGAAATTATATTCTCCTTTTCATCCTGTCGTGTGTTTAGTCATTGTTTAAATTTTATTAGAATTTTATGAAAGGCAACTTCAATCAATAATTTTTTTTCTTTCAATTTTCCTTTCGGAAATAAAATGTTTGTGACGATGCAAAATATTAAATATTCCCATGAATCTATCTTCGTGGAGATTAGTCCAGCGATTTTCAAAAGCCTAAAAATATCACGATTGCGTGTAGTTTTAATGAAACTCGCTGTTAGGCTCTGAGCCTTGCAAAAATAATATCAATATTTCCCCAAATGTGATTCGGAATATTCAACTCTTTTTTTTTTTTTTTTTTCATTTTCTTTTTCTTTTAACGATACAATATTGGAGCGATACTTACAAACACCTTCCAATATGACGCGCGCGCACACACACACACACACACATATATATATATATATATATATATATATATATATATAGATCAGATGCTGGTTTCTCCTGCAAAGGCGGATACAAGTTCAAATGCTTCGGGATGGCACATTTTCTGAGGTTTTCACGAGTATGAAAGCAATAGACGAAATATATACTATTTAAAATAGACGGAGCGTCTACTCAAACAGGAGTATCAACTATAACGTTTGAAGTTATATAATGCCCTGAAGAGTACATTCAAGTATCAAACAGACTGGCGCCGCAAGGTGTTGACCTCATTGTTCACTTCTATATTTACAGACACTCTGTATCTGATAATGACCACTTTTGCCCATAAATATAGTATACCTAAAAACATTTTTATCATATATATATATATATATATATAATCTGAAATGGATTAAGTCCGAAAATTATTTTATTATATTTTCTGTTTGTACATTAGTTTTATAGATACAAATATTTAAGTAAATGCTCTGTTCATTATAAACAGTATTTACTACATTTACCGGCCTGAATGTCCGAGAAATTTCATAGAAAATGTGTCCTCCCACAGGAATCGAACTTGTATCCTACACGGAACCGTCATATAGCCTGACGTGCTATACTATTTAGCTACAGAGGAAGTGTCTGGTTAAACAGTAATTTGATTTTGCTATCCAGACACTTCCTCTGTAAACAGAGCATTTACTTAAATATTTGTATCTATTAAAATAACATATAATCTATCTATCTCTCTCTCTCTCTCTATATATATATATATATATATATATATATATATATATATATATATACATACTGTTTATACGTTTATTTCTAGGAGATATATATATTCTGTTTATATATATATATATATATATATATATTTCTATGATATGTATATAAACAGAATATATATATATATACACACATACATACTGTTTTATACGTTTATTTCTAGGAGTATATATATTCTGTTTTTTTATATATATATATATATATATATATATATATTTCTATGAGATGTATATAAACAGAATATATATATATATAATACACTATAAAAATTTATAAGGCCAAGATATCTGATGTCAGGTAGTTGAGAATTTTTTGAGTAGTAGTATGTGTTTCATTCCTCTGTAATCTTGAATCAATGACTTTATCTTTTCTGAATTGCTGTTCTTTTCTGAAGACAGTTGCTCTCTTTGGAAAAGTGAGTATAGGGAGTGTGTAAGGTCAGTGTGGCACTGGAGCGATGACTGACAGGTGTCGATACATGATAGCAGGCACATTCTTGCCTGCTCAACATTTGAAAGGGTCCACTATGTAGAAGAAGCAATACCTTCAGTGGTCAGCTGGTTTCATTAAAATTCGTGAGATTCAGAATTTCAAGGCTGTATTTTCCCCACTGGTCAAAAAAGCAAAGTTTGAAGGGGGTAAGTCATTTCCTTTGGTTTTTAAGCAGATTCAATAACTATGTCTAAAGATAAAAAAAAACAAAAAAAAACAGTTAAAATTGGAGAGGAACAATGTCAAATTGGATCCAATGCTGGAGCCCGGGAAAATACTGTTTCGCCCACTGCCCTTAAAATCGGGCCTCATGAAACAATTTGCCGCATCTCTAGATAAGGAGTCTGCAACCTTCAAGTACCTTCAATACTTATTCCCTAAGCTGCCAGTGGCAAAAATCAAAGCTGATGTCTTCGTTAGATCACAAAGATTATAGAATGCAAGGAATTGCCCAAGAGCTCACTACGACGGGGAAAATGGCGTGGAACAGCTTTTTCGTAGTGGTTTGGGGTTTCCTGGGGAATCACAAAGCCGAAAAATGTGGAGCTTGTTAAGATCCTGGAGAAGAACTACGGTAAAATGGGTTACAGGATGTCACTCAAACTCCATATCCTTGACGCTTATCTTGCATAAATTCAAGGAGAACATGGGGGCGTACTCAGAGAAGCAAGGCGAGCACTTCCGCCAAGACTGTGAACGCCGTTACCAAGGATCGTATAATGAGACATGATGGGAGACTATATTTGGGTGGGAGGTGCTGATTCGTGAAAGTAATTTAATGTATAAGTGTAAATCGCGAAAACCTATTCACTTCTAAGTTTTTTTTTATGGTCTTTCTTGTGTAATCCTAGAATAAATAAATGCTACTTTTGAGTCATGTCGTTTTGTTTCTAGTTTGCGTGAATGAGAATGTTCCCATTCGCCAGTTTTCCCAATGGGAAATTTCCGAAATATCATTATCCTTGACTTAAAAAGCAAAGTTTGAAGGACATATTAGCCATTTTTCATACTATCTACGCGGAAGCAAATAAGAAATAACCGTTGCTAACCAAGGACATAAATTTGTATTAATCTTATATAGCAAACCCTCTTTTATACATGTTTCAGACGAACACAAGAAAATTTAAAGATTTACTCGCAGTACCTTGTCAGTCATTTTAACGAAACTTGTATAAAGGAGAAATTGCTGCCCAATTTTAAAGTTCAACGGAGATCTGTCAATTTAACTTTTTTTTGCTTATTCCATTTATTGAATAAAATGTTGTGCATTGTGGATAAACTGTCCAGAGTCACGTGTTTTTTTTTTTGTTTTTTTTTCTTCAAGTACTCCCCTCCTGTCTTCGTCATTATCAAGAACCGGGTATTGCCACTGTAGTTACTTAAATTTTATCTTTTCCTTTTAAAAAAAAAAAACGCATTTTAAGGTGTTTTGTGAGTGCTGTGTGGTCCCAAACTATTTTTGTGTGTATATATATATATATATATATATATATATATGTATATGTATTAAGCTTAGCTTCACTGTGGCACAAGGCCGAGATTACGGAGCACCCAGTGAGGATAAAACTCACTACTCAGCTATAAAAGATCCAATTGGTTGCTTGTTTTTTTTTGGTGGGGGCGTTATTTTTGTGAGTGTGTGTTTTATTGTTGTTTAACGTCAAGGATTATTCAATGCCGAAATCTTAATATTTTGTACACAATTTCTTTTAATAGATAATAATGGTTTAGTGATACAAGTCAACGGCCGAAACGTTGTAATAAATATGGCGACAAAGATGCGGACAATAGTGCGAATAATGTAAATAGTGTACATAATACCTAATCTCAGAAATATAGACAGATACTTAAAGGCCGAAACGTTGTAATAAATATGGCGACAAAGATGAGGACAATAGTCCGAATAATGTAAATAATGTGTTATGTTTGTATTTGTTTGCTATTGAGCCTATGCAATTATATGTATCCGTAT